GATTGTGAACATGTTCATAGCTGATGCAATTGAGTGCTGACATTCTTTTATTATCGTTTCTATTATATATATATATATATATGTGTGTGTGTGTGTGTGTGTGTGTGTGTGTGTGTGTGTGTGTGTGTGTGTGTGTACATTTGGATGAGGCTATGATGAGGTAATTCGGTAAACCGTTATTAACTAAAGTCTGTTTTATGTTTTGTTCTTTAAAGAAAAGTTGGTGAGAGTTTGAATTCTCCTGCGGTCTCTTGAGGAAAATTTTTAGACATTCACTCGAAAAAATTAAGTGGTAAGAGTTTCTACTTGTAGTTTTTTTATATAACGAAGTAGTGAATGCGTTATTATAGATTCCACAACATATAAAAATAGATAAAATTAAGGACATAATTTTTCTCAAATGTAGTTTTGAGATTATCAGTTTGTTTTTGTCTTCAGCTAAAATAAAAATATCATCTATATAGCGGACATATATTTTGGGTTTAGCAACTTCTTTAAGTATCGTGTTTTCTACGTAGGATACATAGTAGTTAGAGAAGCAAGGGCCGAGTAGATTTCCAATATTAACACCGTTAGTTTTGGGTATAAATATTAAGAATTTAAAATAAAAATAACATCCTATATAATGACTAAAGGGATAGCCGAATGTGCTTGGACATACAAAATATTCGGACAATTTTTACACACTTTATGTCCATAAAAGAGAACACAAAAAAAGTTAAATAAAAAGCTTAAACACAGTATCTTTTCAGTCGTCTTTAAGGAAACTTGTACATATATACAGGGTATGATGGTTAAATTGTTGCCAGTTCATATTTTAATTTAGCACATCGTTTGTTTTTGATTTTTTGCACTATATAGTAGGGTCAGTTGGGCACCATCTGTGAGTAAAAGAACACCATGAAGCAATTAACTCCACCAGAAATTTGGAAACGGCATGCTGTACTGCTTGGCAATTGTGCTGGAAGCTCTAATCACATTTTATAGTGTTTAGGTGTCAATCTGAGGACAGGGCAGAGGATTCGGATGCCTACATCAAGTGCCTTGAGGTGGTATTGCTGTCCTGGTTCAAGAAAGTGGCTGCTGGAAGGCCCTTTGTCTGGTAACAGAACTCTGCACCATGCCACACAAGCAGGAGAACAAAGTCTTGGTTGTCAGACAATTTCTGCGGTCACATCACCGCTTACACATTGCAACCTAACTCCCCAGACTGCAACCTCCTTGATTATTACGTGTGGTGTTCAGTTGAACGATAGCCTAACAAAACTCCCCGTAACACCAAAAGTGAACTGAAGGCGAGGATTATAGCCGCATTTACCAACTTAAACAAGGAGACCGTCCAGAGGACTTACTAGAGATTCCGAGGTCGTCTGGAGGCCGTGGTTGAGATCAATGTCGATTTTATTAAATAGTATTTCAAGATATTTTTGTGTAATTTTGGTAAATATATGTTAAAATGAGGTGTCAGTTTTATTTTTATTTTTGAGCAATTTAGACGACAATTTATCCATCGCACCCTGTATGTTTATATATATATATATATATATATATATATATATATGGTTGTCCTTCGGGTCCGTAGGTAGGACGATAAACTACATCCGCGTCCTGGGTAAGACGATAAACTACGTCCAACAGCAAGGCCTCTGATCAGGAGGTTTTGAGGAGTGTCGAACCACCTTTTGATTGCTGGTGTTACCGGGTTCCCGGGGTGGTGGCAACTGTTGGGGTCCGAGCTATGGGCAGGTGGTTGACTAACAAACTGGGGTCAAAACACCGTGTACGTGTAAAAATAGGTTTTAATATCAGAAATATATTGTAAAAAATATTACTAGCAATACATTTTTAAAAAATATTACTAGCAATAAAAATTGTCGGCATTAAATAAGCCGTAAAACAAAACAGACCAAACTAAACCGAAGAAGACTGATTTGCAATTAATCAGTGGATCCTGAGGTTGCTGGAAGACCCAAATCTGGATGCACTGGGCTCTGGAAAAGTGGATACACTGGAAATCAGCGTTTGTGATTAATGCCAAAGTTGTACTGTAGCACTCTTGCCTTTGAGCAGTGGGGTTTGGCACCAGCAGTACATTCCTTTAGCTCGTTTGGTCTGATCTGGAGGTTAACTTTGATTGAGTCTTTGTACCTTTTTCTTGATTGACCTTCTTGTCTTTAGCCAAATAGAAGCTCTCCATGCAACAGGCGTTTGAGACTACGATGTTGTTCCATGCGGTTGAAATGCCAAAATCATCGGACTTGTACTTTGATGAATATTCATCCGATACTAGTCGCGTTGGCATGGTGCAAAATTTCAAGGTTAATGATACTGCAACGTGTATTCCATGCATGGAGGCAAAGTGTCCGTATATGGAACTTTTCCAATTTTTTGCAGTACAGGGTCTACGTTTCGCTTCCATATAAATGAAATCATACCAAACTAAGGCCATGCCAATAACGATTTAAAAGAACAATTAAAAAATGACCCTAGAAATGTTTACTTACATCACAGCAACAAAACCTGGAAATAACTGCTGATCTTGGATCTTTTCTGTTAATTTTAAGCTACTTATCGCAAATATAAATTCACCCCAAGAAATTATAAGTTTTAAATCAAAGTCTGTCTGTTTATTAAATGTTTGGAAATCTTTTGAAATTATAAAATTTAAATCAAAATTTGTTTAGCTTGCCTCGCAACAACTTCAACCCCAGAATGGAAAATGAGGGACTTATTCATACCTCCCAAGTACGAATGATATTCGAGAAATTTATAAGACCCCACGTAGACCCCACACTTAGAAATGGCGCACCCGAGTCGTCCACATTTGGGGCGATTGTGACGGTCAACCCAACTGGAGTGCAATGGAAGAGCCTCACTCTGGGAAAATTTGGTGTGAATTTTAGTAAATATAAGTTCTTTTTTATTTTGGAGTGAATTAATATTTTGAGCTGAATTACAGAAAAAGATCTCTGATCTTTATTTACAACCCTTTAAAATTTGCAGCTACAAATATCTACCCGAAGTTGAAAAATACAATGAAATATTTTTAGCATCTTCCACAATCATGATTCATATATTATTCTAAATGAAAAGCGTACAACGTCAAAAACAAAAAACAAAAATAAACTATAATCTAAAAAGACTTGTTTTAAATATATTACCTTTACACTCCATAACTAAAGAAATTTAACTAATATCAATATAAAAATTAGCACAGATAATTCAGAAAACGCTTAAAATTGAATCAATGTAATATCAGAAGGAGAAGTCTAAAAATATAAAATATAATATATAAACAATGTCTACAAAAATACATAAACATTTTAAAACATGTAATATAAAAGCTTTGATAATGTAAGTCGGTAAACGTTAATTACAATGTTTGTAAAATGACAGGAATGTCTGTTCAAACACGTTTAGCCGCTAAAATAACGTTCATATTAATAAATATTTTCCGATTGAAAAATCCATTACTTGCTTAAATCATTTTGTTTATGTTTTGAATATGAAACTATAAGTTGTCATAGACAACTAAACGTCCTATCAAGAGATTCACTGTTCTTTAAAAGAGTAACTTAAAAAGAGTAAGAGACAAGAAAACTAGGAAAAATGGATTGGCGGTTCGATTCCTGTCGAGAGCTACATTTTCTTTAATAAGATTATATCAGCCAGTAGACTTTAATTTCATTTCATCCAGTAAAATAATGTTTATATGAATTAGAAACATTTTCGGATTGAAAAAAAAATCTACTAATACACGCACCACGAAAGTCTAATTCTACCCGATGTAACACACATACATATGTATAAATTCAGGCACGTTTGTTTAAGTAATCTGGACACATTATGCATATGTATTTTATTTTAATCCTCTCGAATTCAACTGACTGATTTCTTAATGTTGATATCAAATTGATTAAGGATGCCGCCGTAGTTTTTTCATTTCTTTTATTTTCTCAAGTGCTTTCGATCTCATACGAGATTATCTTCAGGGGTGAATTGCTAAGACGAAAATTTAATGTAATTATATATATATATATATATATATATATATATATATATATATATAACCCAAATGTTATTATAGAAATCTTGATAAAGAAATTGTGCTCTGCGTCCCCTTTGTAGGTGAAACCACTGTTTGATCCGGTGTGCTTACACAGGTTCGATCCCCTTTGAAAATTTCTATATGTGTAGGCCAATATACATAATACACACTAAAATTCAGTGACCCTTTAGAAATATATGACATGAAGAAAAATTAACAACAGCTAAAACAAACCCCATTCGATAGATAGATAGATAGATAGATAGATAGATAGATAGATAGATAGATAGATAGATAGATAGATAGATAGGTTTTTCACCATAGGAGATGGCATTTTAAAATGTGTATGAAACGCTCAAAAATAGGCGTAAAATATTTAATATGTTCTTTTTCCAATGCTGTTAAACTATGTTAAACGTGACATTATTTATGCATATATATTTTAAATGCCAGGATGTATTCGACAAATGTTGTTGTCGACGATGCTGACAATATTTAACTCCTGACAATGACGGTCGGTAGTAGTCGAAAAACATGAACTTTAGACAGTTTATCCTCAATTTTGATCTGGCTGTTCATCAATTTATTCAAAAATTAGAAAAATACATGAAAATAGTAAAAAGACAAATCTTGTGTGTTGACTAACAAAAACCTAGTATATAAACAGATAGATTTTTGATTGACTGATTCGTTTTCTAACTTTGTCAAGCTTTTGCAAGTTATTTAAAGCCAGAAATTATTGTTAGGTTTTCTTGGAAGAAGGAGAGATAATAATGATTTAGTAATAAAAGTTTTAACTAGCTGTGGATAAAAATGGTCAATTCATAATTTTCCAAAGGCTAATTGCGTGTAAGTGAATATAATGAACCCAACTGGAAATAGAAATCTGCTCTTCAATAAACAATCCCGAGCTATTATCCATTGCACCACCCACACATCCAAGCATATGGCACCAAGTGGTCACCCATCTAAGTACTTCCCAGTTGCTAAGTTGCTTAACTTCGGTGATCGTACAGGAACCGGAGTTTCAATATAAGCTGATAGATAGAGAGAGAAGAGAGACGGAAGAAAGAGAGAAGAGAGACGAGAGAAAGGAAAAGAGGAGAAGACAGAGAGAAGAGAGACGAAAGAGAGAGAGAGAGAAGAGAGAGTCGAAAGAGAGAGAGAGAAGAGGGAAAAGAGACGAAAGAGAGAGAGAAGAGAAGAGAGACGGAATAGAGAGAGAAGAGAGACGGAAGAGAGAGACAAGAGAAGAGTGACGGAAGAAAGAGAGAGATGAGAAAAGAGACGGAAGAGAGACAAGAGAAGAGAGACGGAAGAGAGACAAGAGAGACGGAAGAGAGACGGAAGAGAGAGAGAGAAGAGAGGCGATAGAGTGTGAGAGAAGAGAAAAGAAGAGAAAGAAAGACGGAAGAGAGAGAGAGTGACTACTTAAATGTTAATTTGGAGCGTAAAATTAAGTAAAGAGGGTGACAGACAGAATATTTTTTAAAGTTGTAATTTTAAAAAATGACTTCGTAATTATGAAAAAAATATAACGTTCTACTATATTTAATGGGCATTATATACATATTATTTTCTTTAATTTTCCCTCCACTAATGAGTCAAGCCTGCTTCTCACTGGCGAACCGAAAAGCGAAATCTTTCATCCTCATTTAATTTTAATCCAAAACCTCCATTAACGAACATCTTGCGATACAAAACTAGTCAGATTGCTTTAGTTAAACGTTTGATTGTTAAAAGAAGGAATTTAATAAGTGACATCTTTAAAAGGGAAATATAACTCCGAAAAACATGCTTCCTGATGATTATAACCGATTGAAAAACAATTATTTCTGCTCATACTTCGATATTTGGGCATTCTGTAGTAGAACTGTTCGAGACAATACGTAATGCTTATCAGCAAGCTTTAATAAACTCGGTATTTACCCAAGTCCTCTCCGCAAGGCAGGATTTGGCAAAAGGCCGGTTTTTAACGTGGGGCTTTCCAAGCAGACAGTCCTATCAGCAGAGCTTTGGAAAACTTGGTATTTACCCGAGCACTCCACAGAGCGGGATATGACACAAGGCCGGTTTAACGTGGGTTTTCCGAGCACGTAGGCCCGGGCAAAAATTCCCCGAAAACACTGTAATAGCGGAGTGGGGTTTGTCTACCTCTCCAGACGAGACTCTGCATTTCAACATAGCCTCATCTGAGTTCCTCTCCGCCCGAAGAGAGAGAAGTCGACAAGTAGTGTGTTCGCAAGCGTGGAGATTTGGAAAACTCTGCATATCATCAGAGTTCTCTTGAATATATGTGTTTAGGACAGATCTATTAATGGGGTGGAGATGTATCATACCATACATACCATCATCAGAATTTCTCATTTTTATACCGACGAAACGCACAAGCTATTTTAATATTCGCTACGCAGTCCAACACATCAATTCTAATGATGTTTTTAATCCTTACAAAAAAAAGGATGATTGATATACTGAGGGTCTCCATTGAATGAACTGTTCTTTGACCCCTGGGTCATATAATGCAGTGAATTTCAACCAGTGTACCGCAAGAGGAGCGTAGGTGTGCCGCGAAAATTTTTAAAGGTCATTAATTAAATCATTTTCGAAAGATGTTCAAAGCACAGTAAGAGTGCAAAGCAAGCTTTTTGGCAATAAACAATGTTAAAAACTAAAATCGATCACGACTAGGATCCTTGGAAAAAGATTTAAGGTTTCGCCTGTACAAACTTACAAAAAAGATATTCTAAAAAAAAAAAACCGTCAAGCTCAAATATCTCATTAAATGTTAAATTATAATAAACAGAAAAATAAATATAAGTTTTTTAAAGATTTTCAAATAATATATTTTTATTACAAATTATAATAAATTGTTTTGGTTGTTTTAACAAATAAATCATAAAAGTAAACTCTTTTTTAACTCTTTTTTGATCTTCATAATTTAAGTATTCATGGTTCATGTGTGCTACGAGATAAAATAAAGGTCGGAAAACATTGATTTAATGTTTTTCCGAAAAAGTAAATCTACAGAAACTCCTACAAAAGGTAGTGAATGAAAGCAAGAAAGGCTTAAACATCAACTGCAAGAAGACAGAAGAGATGGAATTTAGATTAAGGATGAGCCCAAAGTGCGAATTACAAATCGAAGATACCAAATGCGGATATTTAAATATTATGGAAGTTTTTTTTAACAGACAACGGAAAGTGTGACACTGAAATCCGAAGGTGTATTGGGATAGTGAAAGATACATATCAAAAACTAAGCAGAGTATTAAGAAATAGAAAAATTTCGCTTGAAGCATGGAAAAGAGTATTAAACTGTTACGTGATATCTGTCATCCTGTATGGCAGTGAGTTCTGAACGATCTCCTCAAAGATGAAGAGGAAACTTGAAGCAACAAAAATGTAGTTCTACAGAAGGATGCTGAGGTTGACGTGGACAAAACATGTGAGCAACGACGAAATTTTGGAGAAAATGGAAACAAAAATTTAAACTTATACTTAACATTAGGAAGAAACAGTTGAGCTTTCTATGGCATATAATGAAGGAGGAAGGCTACGAAAGTCTGATACTCACAGGGAGTGGAAAACAACGCATGACATACTTAGTGAGCCTGGGTAAATGTATGGCGGAACAGGGCTTAGGAGAAATAACAGAAAGACAACGTTTATTAAGAGCTACAAGGGACGGGAAGATGTGGAGAGCCATGATCCTTATGACACGTTACATAAAGAGATCAGCAGTTCCATGAAATAATGCAAAATTAACTTCGGGGTATCCATTTGGTATCTTTTTGGTGCTTATTTCTGCGGATCGAACTGTTCGTGAATTATCAATCCAACTTGGTCTATGGAAATCTCACGTGCCTTTTTTGCTAGTGCCATAAATATCATTGAGAATTTCGAGAGTTGACACAGTTGAAAGCCTCCTATACCGAGCTGTCTCTTGAGTCTTAAAATTTCTCCACTACAAGTTGGCACACCACTTCACAGTTAAGTATGAATCGCACTTGTCATCCAATGTTTGTCTGATATATTCACGGATTTTCTTTGGAGTTTTCTTCTGCACGAACTGGAACTTCTTGACAGACCGGAAGTCAACACTTAAAACTGTCACACTCAAGGATCTGAAACAAATTCATAACTCGGCGAAGAATCCTGTAAATTGGCACTTTACAATATAAAAGAACACTCATTCCGGTTTCTACTTTTATGTACCGTCTCACTACAAGACATTGGCAATAATGACTTTTCACAACTTCCTAATGTTCGTAGCTCTAAGCAATGTTTGTCTCCTTGCTTATCCCTGTCAGCTCGCTATTCTGATATCCGTTTAAAGAAGCTCGTTATTTAAGTTATTTCACTCTGCTCTTTTTTGCATTCATTATGTTATGTGTGTATCAAATTCTCCAAACACTCTTTCCTCATTTTGCTTCAATTTCAACAGTCTCTTCCTCATTCTAAGTATTGGTGTCCATTTTGTGTCAATTTTCCTTACAACTTCCTCTTTATTCCATGTTATTCTCAGCACCCCCCTCTGTAGAAGCACATTTTTGCCGCCACTATTCTCTCCTTCATCTGTATGAAAATTGTCTAGAATTCACTGTTATATAGATTGGTACATGGATAGGATTTATATTACATAGCAGTTCTTCTCTTTTCTTCGAAATTTTCTTGTTCATTAATATTTCGTTTTATTTTACAGCTGCACAATAATACTAAGATTTTTGGGAGTTGGTGGGACAATTAAATTTTCATCACCTCGTATTCATATCTTAAATCATGGCTTTTAGTTGAACACAAAAGTATGATAAACCGACGCGTAACGATGAAAAGAAATGTTTTCAAATGACCGAGATGCATATGTATGGATAAATAAATGATGAAATGGGGGGGGGGATCTACATAATGAAATTCCTTCCCCAGAAGGACCTGATCAAACTAAAGAAATGATCTTATTGATCTTATATATATATATATATATGTGTGTGTGTGTGTGTGTGTGTTGTTGTTGTTGTTGTTGCATACCTACGGACGATAATGGGTATGTCCCTATTCACATAAATACAATAATAAACACCTTATGTTGGTATGCAGTCGAAGATTCGTCTCCAGCTGTACTGGTCAAACTCAGACGAGGCTATGTCGAAGGGCAGAGTCTCGTCTCGGGAAACAGCTACCCGACCCCGTTCTGTACGAGGTCTACGGAGAATATCCCGTAGTTGGAGATTCGTCTCTAGCTGTGCTGAAACTCTCTGCTTCCGGGCAGAGATGATCTCCAGACGACGCTATGCCGAAGGACAGAGTCCCGTCTCGGGAAACAGCTAGCCAACCTCGTTTTATACGGGGTCTACGAGCAAATTTGTGCCACATCTGACCGCGTGGGGTGGTTGGTAGATATCCTGCAGTTCGAGATTCATTGTGGAATTCACTTGACTCACTTCTAGCAGTTTATTTCTTTTACGCGCTGCTGGCGAATCTTATACGTGTCATTCTGGTGCTAAGTATTATCGTTCATTAGCAACCTTCGTTTTATTATTCTATTCAGTAACCATCCCTAGGTTGCAATAAATATATATATATATATATATATATATATATATATAATCCTATCAATAAAAAGAGTATTTTGTTCAGATAGCGATTTTCTAACCGTAGCTTAAATGTGGCACAAGGCCAAAAGTAAGGATCGAACTCACTACTTCATCTAGCGACACTTACTAACCATTGACTACGGCGGGATTCCAACAGTGCTTAGATCAGATGAAGCCATTTTAGATGAAAATGCGTTAGAAATATATTTTTTTTAGTTTGTATTTATTACCCGACATTGTTCTGATATATATAAATTTATATAACATATTATCCCATACATTTAGCGAAACATAATCTTCCTGATCCGTCAGCATCGGGAAGATTATATTGCGTCAATTGGATCACTGCAAAAGCTAAACCAGCATTTCAGGTCCTTCCTAACCGCAACGATCAAAGTCAATAGAAAGTCTGTATATAGAGGGTTAGATAACAATAGCTGGCCACTCATATTCGAGAATAACCGTCTACTAGGGTGGCTAGCCAATCCTTATTGCAGACTATCGCTCACGCGCCTTTGTGTTTGTTCAACACCCACAGAAACAATCTGCAACTATGCTGAACAGAACTTAGTTACAGTTTCAGAGCGTGTTATCTAGAATGATCAACAATCTGAACAACACCAACACACTCAAACACTCGGTCACGATGACTTGTTACTTGTTACAGCTATCGTCGGCCCCAAGTGTTCAGTCTACTCAAATTCACTCACAAGGCACTTCGGGCACTTTGCAAAGGTGCCCTACGATGGGATCGTCCCCACTCCATACCGATAACATTAGGAAGCCTCCTTCCCGACAAATCAACCATGGTCAGAAAGCGAACGTTCTAACAACTCGGCCACAGATAGATAGATAGATAGATAGATAGATAGATAGATAGATAGATAGATAGATAGATCGAACCTCTCTCGTCCATGATCCCGAAGGTGACTTGCCAGGCCGATCGCGGACTTGCATAATTTATAACCAAAACAGAGACTCAGATAAAAAAAAAAATCCAAGATGGCCGACAAAAAACTTTTTTACATCAAAGCACAGTTGTAAACAATATGGATAATAAAAATTAATTTTTAAATCAAAGCACAGTTTCAAAGTTTTTTATTTAAATATATTGGAATCAAACTATAAACTGGAATTTTTTAACAGTCCATGGCGTCGACTTGGAAAAAATTCCAGTTTATAGATTGATTCCAATATAATCTTAATTAAAAAAATTTTTTAGTAATTAATAAATAATTTAAAAAAAAAAAAACCTTGGAAACTTCGACTGTGAAGAAGAATAAATTTAAGCGCGGACGCGCGTAAGTATCCTAATCAAAAAATAAACCTTCGAACTGCGCCTTTCAACAAAGATAAACTTCAGCGCCCTCGCGCGTACTTAAACAGGATATAACTGCACACGCGCAAAATATTAATATTTCATCACAGTCGAAGGTTCTAAGGAAGAATTAGAGGGGGCACCTCAGCAAACTTTGTTCGCAGGCAGTTCATCCTTATTATATTTTATTTTTGAACAATATAGTCATTAACGACTATCACCGTGCCAAGGACAGGAGTGACAGATGAACAATGTGCTTGCCAGAACCTTGATGGATTCACACTGCTGTGCCTGATTCTTCTGCATCACCATGTGCCTTTTCATACTGAAGTTGGTTGTGCATACCTTGTCTCCCAGTGTGCATTCTGTGACACCCTGTGTCTGTGAAATATCAAGGGTGATTTTCTCTTTATGTGACTTCACATGATTCACCCGGCCAGCTTTTGAAAGAAATATGCGCTGACAGAAATCACGTTTCCAGCCCTTGATACCCTCGTCAAGTCCATGGTTATCACCTATTCGAAGTCGCTGCTTCAGCCGTTTGTGTTCCAGACATTCTCCGAGGAGTTAACACCCATCTCTTATTTGACCTCTACACCCAGTTCCATCTAGAGCCATCTCTTCCCAATTGTTGAAGTCAAACGCCAGCTTTTTTAGGTTGTTCTTGATAAAGTTCTTGTATCTTTTCCTTAGTTTGTGCTGAGGACGCTTTCCGATATTCAGCACACCATAAAATAATTGTTGTTAGAGTCTACTATCCTTCATTCGAATTATGTGTGCTGTCAATCGCATTTGGAAAGATGTTACAAGAGTCTCTATGCTAGGGCAGGTGGCTTTGACTAGGACATCAGCATAAAGAATTCTCCTTTCAATATGCGTCTCAGGCATTTCTGCTGGAAACGCTCAAGTATTTTTATGTTTGCTGAGTAGTGTAGGCGTATAGAAGAACTGTCAGAATGCAAGCTCTCTACACACATACTTTGGTATGGTTGGTAATGTCACGAGCTGCCCAGACTCTCCTTTCCAGCTTTGGGAAGACCGCAGACGACTTCTGGATGCGTAGATATATTTCGACATCCAGTGAGCCATCTTTTGTAATTGTGCTGCCAAGGTAAACGAAGTTCTCAACTACCCGCTAATCTTATTCCATGAACAAAGATGTTGGGCTCGATATATGGCTCTCCGTGTGTAGGAGTAAACATTACCTTGGTTTTTGTGAGGCTTATCGTTAGATCAAATGCTGCTTTTGATACATACATGCGAAAAGACCGAAATACATATGAATAGATAGATAGATAGATGCGAAAAGATTGAGATACATATGAATAGATAGATAGATAGATAGATAGATAGATAGATAGATAGATAGATAGATAGATAGATAGATACATATGAATAGATAGATAGATGCGAAAAGATAGATAGATAGATAGATAGATAGATAGATAGATAGATAGATAGATGCGAAAAGATTGAGATACATATGAATAGATAGATAGATGCGAAAAGATAGATAGATAGATAGATAGATAGATAGATAGATAGATAGATGCGAAAAGATTGAGGTACATATGAATAGATAGATAGATGCGAAAAGATAGATAGATAGATAGATAGATAGATAGATAGATAGATAGATAGATAGATAGATGCGAAAAAGATTGAGATATGAATAGATAGATAGATGCGAAAAAGAGATAGATAGATGCGAAAAGATTGAGGTACATATGAATAGATAGAGAGATGCGAAAAGATAGATAGATAGATAGATAGATAGATAGATAGATAGATAGATAGATGCGAAAAGATTGAGGTACATATGAATAGATAGATAGATGCGAAAAGATAGATAGATAGATACATACATAGATAGATAGATGCGAAAAGATTGAGGTACATATGAATAGATAGATAGATAGATAGATAGATAGATAGATGCGAAAAGATTGAGGTACATATGAATAGATAGAGAGATGCGAAAAGATAGATAGATAGATAGATAGATAGATAGATAGATAGATGCGAAAAGATTGAGGTACATATGAATAGATAGATAGATGCGTAAAGATAGATAGATGCGAAAAGATTGAGATACATATGAATAGATAGATATATGCGAAAAGATAGATAGATAGATAGATAGATACATGCGAAAAGTTTGAGGTACATATGAATAGATAGATAGATGCGAAAAGATAGATAGATAGATAAATGCGAAAATAGTGAGATACATATGAATAGATAGTTAGATAAGAAAAGATAGATAGATGCTAAAAGATTGAGATACATATGAATAGATAGATAGATGCGAAAAGCTGGATAGATAGATAGATAGATAGATAGATAGATAGATAGATAGATAGATGTGAACTAGGTTAAAGATATGTTAAATACAAAGACAGAGATTGATTTATTGACGAGTGTCTCTGTGTGTGGCGGGGCAGCGTGTATGTGTGTCTTCGTGTGTGTGTTTCTTAGTGTGGAAATTAGTGAGATAGGAGATGCACAAAATGATATATTGGCTTGTTAGACAGTGATGTTATGAACGTGCCTTATTAAAGTGACAATTCTTTTCGCAGGCGGACATTTTATATATATTGAACTAATTATGGTGCTTTTCCCAAGCCTTTGCGCATGCGTACTCAACTCATACGCAGGTATGAATGTTCAGTTGTTTGACTGCATCTCGCGGGCCATGGCTCTCCCATCTTGCCAATTATGTGATTTTCCCGCTGTGACAAAGGGTTCCTCCCATTAGGTTCCTCGACTCATTATCACGACTCTGTTTTTTTTTTTTTTTCTCATTATTCAATGGCATATTTCAGTGGTGGGGTTTGTGTAAACGCATCTTGGCGCATTTAGTCTTTCTCCCCCCCCCTTTTTTTCTTCTGTCTCTCTTTTTCTAACTTTTGATTTCTCCTTTCTTTAGCTCGCTTTCTTCCCTATAATTTTCTCAGATTACACTTTCAACTTTTTCGCTGTCTTTGTCGATTTTTTTTCCTTTTTCTTATCTTTGTTTTTTACTTTCTTTTCACGTTCTTTCTTCTCCGGTTGATCTCCCTTTTCTTCTTTCATTTTGGATTCTCTCCTTCTCAAACTAGCTTACTTTTCTCCTCTCTTTTGTATTTTATTTAATTAGTTCTTTAGTACTTAAACGAGCATTTCTGTCTTCCTTTCTTCTCTCTCTCTCTCTCTTTATCTATCTATCTATCTATCTCTCCTTTTCCTCATTTCTGTTTTATCTATTTCTTTGATTTTCTCATCTATCCCTATTTTCAATGAAAAACATAATGGGATAGACAGCTAGCTAGATAGTAGGTTGGTGCATAATTATCAGGCGTTTTTGTAGGTGAGTTATTTGTTAATAAAAAATGCTCTTTTGTTTACTTTTTTTGATAAAATTATTATTTTATTTATAGGTTATAACAGTGAGTGTCGAAAACAATACGCACCGGAATAATCTTTTAAAAATGTTATTGTTGAATTATGTTTGTTTTTCATAATAAATATTGTTTAAAAAACGCCTGATAATTATGCACCAACCCAATAGCAATTTATCCCTCTATTTACTCCCTTGCATACTATTTCTCTCCCTTTCCACTTTCTGCTCATTCTTTCTCATAATACACTTTCTGTCTCCTTCTCATCATCCTTCTTTCGTTTTTTTCCCTTTACGTTTCCTCTCAGTCTCTCAGGCACATTTTCTATCTCTCACTCTTGCTGTCTTGAACTTCATTTCCGTATTTCTGTGTATTTCTCTTCTCTCTCTCTATATATATATATATATATATATATATATATATATATATATATATATCTTCCTTTCAGTCATTTCCGGTTTCTTTTACACACTCTCTTTCTCTCCCCGATTATATTTCTCTCTCCCACTTTCTCCCTTCCTCTCATTTCTCTCTTTTACGTTTTTCACTCTTTCCATTTCAAACCACTTTTTTCACCCCGCAATATTTTCTCTTTGTGTCCTACAATTATGACCCTGTGTCTGATTCTGCTAAAATAAACCGATGGAGCCTGCGTTGGGCAACGATGAACAAGCTAGTTTCGTAAGCCATTATTAATGAGTTAGATCATTACTGGAGTCTCTGCTATTCTGGCCTTCTACCTGACCCATTTTACCTTATACGTCAATGGTTTGCCATGCATGTAAGCTAACCACAGTACGACAATCAGTACTCTAAAATTATGGTAATGATAATGGTAATAGTAGCCATTTCCTTATATGGAATCATCTTTCAATTATACAATTTTTCATTAAAATAGGTTTCTCAAGTTCACTGTTATTGGTCTTTGAAATATTGAGGTGAGGAGTTTCCTTCCTAACTTTTTGTTCAGTGTAATGCGGAACATCAACATCTTGATTATGTTACTTTATTTTTCTTCAAGTTAAATGTGTTATCATTTCTCAAATAATATGATTTCTGTTATTTGTTACAGTTCCTTATTTATGATCCTGTAGCGACAATCCACGCTGTTCGAAAAAGTAATGTCTTTCCTAAGACCTGCAGGCTCCATTCACTTGAAACCAGTTTTATATGCGAACTTAAAATCGACTTCATTATATTCCGAATTTTTTTCGTGAAATGATTCGGTAGAATCTTAACGTTTGAATGAAGTCTCTTCATTGGTCCACACATCGTTAGATCTGTTATATTTAGCTCTGTTATTTTTAACACAATTTTAAAGCGGTATCTTTCTCGGCCATCTTCAGTCATCTGAAACCACGGGATTAAATATTTCCACTATACCATATATATATTGGACTGTTACAATCTTTTTTGTTTTTAGAACAATATTTTGACCGATATACATTGTAGCTTTCTTGTTGTGTTATCTGAATTCCTAGAAGCCTTTTCATTATCCTATAATGATTCGATTTATTATCACCGCCATTGTTTTTAGCACAACTAGTAGTCAGTTTACGGTTTGATCATTTGAATTTTCTGGTGAATCATTGTTCTTAAGTTAATGAACGAATAAGATCTTTTCTTGTTCTACGACAATTAAATACATGTGGAAATTCCCCTATTATATTTTGAAATATTTGAGTTCCATCACTTTAACGAAATATTGGAATAACAATCATATGTATAAATGCAAGTTATTATTTAAAAAAAGAGGTTCAAACTGACGAGGTTTTTCATTTCACTGAAGCAGAACGTTAAACACATGATTGTATTATTACTTGTTCTGTTTTCACTCTTTCTTTTTCTGAATGAAACCAAATAGCGTTTCTGATATGCCTTTTCCGTCTTTCCCCACGATCAAAACAGAAGAGTCCATTATTGATGTCTGTAACGTACGTGTTAACTAAGGAATGAATGAAAATGGAGAATTATATAATTTTTCGACTTTCCACAAGTTTAGATTTTATTTCAGTTTTTGGAATCTGCTGGGTATAATTTTTAGGCTACTTCTTCATTTCAGGAAAGATTTTCAAAATAATTACGGGATTAGACATTACGGTCTTGGCTTAGAAGCAACATTTTTTTTATCATTTCACCCTAAGCAAGGCAATAAAGCCACTAAGATGCAGGGGGGTTACAGAGTGTGAAAGAATATAAGAATAAAAGATATTATTTCGGAGCGAGAGCAATAAAAGAACAGGAATTAAGAAGAGAGAAGATAACGATTGACATTGCATTTAAATTTTTGAAGATTAAACTCGACTGGAAAGAAAGAAGCAGGTAGTGAGTTCCACGATTAAGAAGTGCGGGAGAAGAAACTGTTAGCATAGAACTTACACGTACATTCAGTTCAGGGTAGAACTTTAGAAGATAACGTTTCTGTGTTTTTTCTTTTCTTTAATTCTTTAAACTTTTATCAGCTTCATTTTCGTTTATATTGTAGGCAATGCATAAATAACTTTAAATTAGACAAACAGACAGATAGATAGATAGATAGATAGATAGATAGATAGATAGATAGATAGATAGATAGATATGCAAACTGGAAAGATTGCAACAAGAATCATAGAGATAAAAAGGTGAAGAAAAAAGCAAACAAAATTAAAATGAAACCCATCAGTGGATAAGGCGATTGAAAAATAACAGAAACAATTTTTAAGAAATAAAAATAGAAATAATGCTAAAAATTCAAAGAAAAAATGAAAAAAAAAAAAGAAAAATGTGAGGAATAACAACAGAGAAAACGTGGAAACCGTGTCAAAAGGCGAGATTTGAAACGAGTAGGCAAGAAGAAACGAAAGAAAAAGGAAGGAATTGATAAAGGAAGATACGTTTTCACATAGCCTATTCTTTTTTTATTGCAGCCGACAAAGAAATTCTGTTCCTAATTAGCTGAAATGTAAAATACACGCCAACCTAATTAAGTAAACTTGTTCGACAAAAAAAAATAAAAATCTGGCATTCCCCCAGAACTCAGCTATCCGTCTCAGTCTGTTTATAGCAACGTATGTTCGTATCTATCTATCGAGATATCTATCGAGATATCTATCTCAGTCTGTGCAAATCTGTTCGTAGCTACTTTAGTTTGTTCCTAGTTATCACTCTTTTTATATATTTCACTCTTCACGTCTATATGTTCTTATATATCTCAGCTTATCTATCTATTTCAATATGTTAAAATCTTTCTGTCTACCGCAGCTTGATAATATTTGGTTACATGTATAATTCATTTTTCTATTACAGATAATATAAATTAATGGATGCATATAAATATAAAGACAGATGCATATAATGTGAACAAAGATAGATAGAAATGAACGGAATGAGATAAATAGTTTCGAATATGTGTGTGTGTGTGTCAGTGTGTCACATCGGGTACCATCGAGCTTTCTGAGGTTGCGGGGAAAACCACCTCCTTCCGCTGCGGTCTGTTTGCTTGGCGTCCTCGTTCAACTAGTGGGAAGCCATCATGGAGTCAATAAACAAATAAAAAAGTGAAAAGACTTATCTCCCGACTCTGACTCTCGCAGAAGTAAATCCGCACTTCCCGATTTATTATGCACCTGAAGAGCGGATTTACTTCTGCGAAACTCGGCGTTAGGATATAAAACTCTGAACTATTTTATGTATTTAGTAATTTAGTATCAATTTTCTATTATTATTTTTATTTCTTTTTATACTGAGTATTTTTTTTACAAAATGTAATTTCCTTAAAAGCATATCCCTCAGTTATACACTAGTCGCCAAATTATTTTTAATGGTAAAAAATCACACACTAACGCAAACACACAGAGACATATATATATATATATATATATATATATATATATATATATATATATATATATATATATTTGTAGGTGTGATGAATTGGATCGTGATTACGATTCAAATGTAATAAATTATAACCATGGAATATTAGCGTTTGACTTTTATATATTTATATATATATATATATATATATATATATATATATATATATATATATATATATATATAACTGTTGATCTGGATTCATATTGAATTAATGGCGAGACAGAACAAGAATGAAGCCCCCAGATGTAGTAACTTAAGCCCCACCCCCTCACCTCTCCCGTTTAACGAGGCTGTAACGATGCAATTGCACAAGATGTTTATCAATGTAATGGATAAGTACTTTCCTAAATTCCGTAGACTGCACAAATTATTCAACAGAAACTTTCTTAAAGTCAGTTATTGAGGCATAGAAAAACAGGCTTCAGTTAGTGAAGAAACACAACGAAAAATGCTAATCCTAATGATAATTCTAACCGCCTTCTCTTGTAACAGAAGGACAAGAATAAGCTGACGTTTGCTGAGTGATTGTTTCAGGAATAATGTTGTGTTCTGAACACTCATGAAAGAGGATAACGGACTTATGATAGACCTTGGAATTACTGAGAGGCCTTGGGAGCTAAGATTTTCAAATACGACATCCTTTAAAAGGTGATATGAAAACTTTATGACATTGCCAAAGTATACCGCCTGCAGTGTCCTGGAAAGCGCATTCTGCATTCGCGCAAGATTGTAGAAATATCAGGGATGGGTCCATACAGCTGTGATTTAGTTGGATTTAGTCTCTAGAAGATGTTAAGTATAGCTCTCAGCATCTGAGTGTAGGAAAAAACAGACAAGACGAACACACTTAGACTCTGGGGTTTTAATAGCTTCAGCCAAATTATGAATTCATCTTGCCGCTTGCGTATTCTATTTTCCGATCCGATAATCATTATTCCGCCCGCAATAAACGGGTCAAAATTATTTAATATAACTTCTTTTTATCCAAATTGTACGAAAAGAAATCATGAATAAATGATCAATTGATTTCTGGGGAAAGGAGAAAATAAAAACAAACACAACTAGTTCATTTCGTGAATTGTCAGTGATATTGGGGTGTTATTTTTAATACAACAATCATCCCCAAATATCCCTAAACAACCCTCCCTCCCAGTTCTTGTATCAAAATTTAAAATCAGTGAATAGTTCAAGTGGATCAATATGCCATTTGATTTCTTCGTTTAATGACCAATCAAACCCATCATTTAATTATTTTTGAGCAAGTAAAACGCCGAGCCTAGATTTTGCCTTAAAAATAATTAACGGAGAAGAAAGCTTATTAACATATTCAACTGGGCCTATGATGCGTTGTTAGGAGGAGTAGATTCAACGTTATCTTTCTTTTAGGCTGATTGTCCTACAAACAGCGGATCTTAGTCAATCCTATTATTTTACCCATAGCTAGTGGACGAGTGTGAAGGAACTGATTTGCGAGGTTTCCAAGGGCATTAATGCTATAAAGTGAGCGTAATTATTTTATTCGGTCGAGCTATCTCGGGCCTTCATGTACCTATAAACCATCACGGTCCTGCATTAAGATCGAAAGGTCATTCTCTGTCATAACATAGCTGGTCAATGTATGTGGTTACTGGGCGACCGACCCGTATTTCTTCAAGGCTACGTGTCCAGATCAGTAGATCATTCGCAAGTTCTTGTTTTGCTCGCCATCAGTATCCTGCAGAGTGCATTCTGCATTTGTGTAAGATTGTAGAAATATCAGGGATGGGTCCATACAACTGTGATTTAGATGGATGTTGTGTCTAGAAAATGTTAAGTATAGCTCTCAGCATCTGAGTGTAGGTGCCATCAAGCTTAGACTATAGGGTGTTAGTTAATGTCCAGGTATCACCTATATAGTGGCTCAAAAGTATCTTCTGTTGAGGTTATCTGTTAGATCAGATTCCAGATTACATCCATTTTATTCAAAGCAGCCCAGACTTTAGCTATGCGAATTTTCACATAACTAGGAAGCGTAAATTCTACTGAAAAGGAGTCGGATTAGGTAAACAATAAAAATAAAATTATCGACGAAGTTTGCAATAACTTGAGATAAAATTAGCCGAAGGAATGTTTCAGTTTTGTATATAAGACGCATGACAATTTTTCGAGTCATTGTTTAAAGTGCGTTTTATAAACCGATAAATACGGCATATCAGAAGAGAAAGCTATATGTCGACGAAATGAGGCGAGGTAAAATTTGTGAAAAACAATTTTCTTGCACGGAACGAGTAAAAAAGATGCAGTTTGTGCATGGAAGATAAATTAAACAACAGATGTCGATGATCAGAGCCAATTATTAAACAAAAGATCAGACGTGGGCTCTAAATGCTTGCACAGAAAATATATTTTGTTGGAATGGAATGTGTACGGCGTGAGTATTTAGAGAATAGATGGACCTGATTTCTTAACTCAGTTGCCTGACGATCACTTCTTCATGTGAAACTTTTAGTTGCGTGTTCAATGTATTATTTGGGATTTGTATTTTGCTATTGTTCTGTCAATTTATTGATATTTGATGCTCTTTTCGTCAAGGCTACTTTTTCAATAATATTCATTGAATTTATTCAATTAATTATTTATGTATATGCATGTATATACATACGCACACACATACATATATATATATATATATAGAGAGAGAGAGAGAGAGAGAGAATAGAGAGAAAGGCACTTCGGCATGGTGTAATGCTTAACAAGCTTGTCTCACTGAAAGTTACGACTGAATAGTGAGTTCGATTCTCACTGGGCGCCCCATAATTTCGCCCTTGTGCCACTATATATAGAAAGAGAGCAATTTATGGAATTTTATTTATTAATTCGAAATTTTTAAAAAAATTTAAATTTAAAAGTTACTTTTAGTAGAAGCTCGTATTTGAATAGACGCTCCATGTATTTATCGGCCTGAATATTCGAGAAATCTTTTTAAAGAAAAATATGCACTCTTTGGCAGGATTCGAACCTAAGTACCCCTAGGCAGAGGCAACCATCGTTAGATCCGACGTGCTCTAACCGACTGTGCTACAGAAAACTTAGATTGAATAGTGTCCTTAACTGAAATTCCTCTCGGGCTACTATGTTTACGCTGGGATACTAAAATAAGCAGATATGAAAATTTCGAGTCTTCAGCCCAGTGAAACTAAGGAATAAGCTTTCATTCTTAAAATATGAGTCGGTCTGATAAATTTTTGCCCAAATTATTCAGAATAAACTTTCACATTTTTTAAGGTTTTACTTCAATATTTTTCAAGGTCTATAATCAATTACTAAGCATAGCTGAGCTGTGGCACAAAACTGAAAACATGGGGCACCGAGTTGCGTGACAAGCTTGTTAACTATTACACAACATCGAAGTGCCCCTATTTTAATCAAAAGATGACTTAATAACACTAATATAATAATAATAATAATAATAATAATAATAATAATAATAATAATAATAATAATTAATATATTATTATTATTATTATTATTATACTGTTTATAAAAATATTTTTTAAATTATTTTCAAAATAATTTTATTTTTAAAATAGTTTATATATAGTGACTTAATATTTCTCTTAATCTTTTAATAAACTCTTAATATTTGATAATTTTCATTTTTTAAATAATTTTTTATAATAATAATAATAAGAAGAAGAAGAAGAAGAAGAAGAAGAAGAAGAGAAATTCCTCTCATACTGCTTTGTTTATGTTTGGATACGAAACTGAGCAGATATGAAGATTTCGAGAAAGTCTTCAGCCCAGTGAAGCTAAGGTTTCCTTCTTAACATATGAGTCAGTCTGATAAATTTCTGACCAAATTATTCAGAATAAACTTTCAAGTTTTTTTAATAGCTTTACTTCACTATTTTTCAAGGTGTATAGTGATTCACTATGCGTAGCTTACTTGTGGCCGAAAGTATGGGGTACGCGGTGAGGATCTAAATCACTACACAGATGTAAGTGATCTAACGAGACAAGCTTGCTAACCATTACATCACGTCGAAGTGCTCCTATTTTTCAAGGTATATATGTGTTATAATTTCATAACTTAAAATCTGTACATAGATTTGTGCTTTATATCAATGTTATATGAATCGAATTTAATAAGACCAAATCAAGTTCATTAGTCGGACTCATTCAAATGAATAAACTGGGACGCAATAATTACACTTATTACCGATCACTATATTTTTATTTATTAATTAAATGTGAATAAATTATGGGTCATATAAGATAGTCAATATATACATAATACTGGAATAAACCATTTAAAATCATTTTTAAAAATTGTCTTCTGTTTAATGGAAGAGAGCAAGTAAAAAAAATAGGTCAGTTAAATATTCAACTGGTCAAGCCCTGAGGTGGTCGCTTTATTTTGAAAAATTCAACATATAAAGGGAAATAACTATGTTAGTCGTCATATAATCGCCTGTCATAATCACCGGTGCGTGAACGCACAGATTTCTTCTGTTGTATTGAGGTAGGTTTGTAATTATACGTTTAAATTCTTCTACTGAATATGATATCCTAAATAGGATGTATACTAAATTTCTTGAGTTAGAATCGTCACTTATATATATATATTATAGTGTGTGTGTGTGTGTGTGTGTGTGTGTGTGTGTGTGTGTGTGTGTGTGTGTGTGTGTGTGCGGATACTTAGTCTTTGTTTAGTCATCCATCCAGGAGAAGACACGCTTATATCAAGGCTGTGAATTCATATGCATCCTATGAAGTAGAATGATTTTTCTTTTTGTGTAAATGCTATCGTTTTCAAAGAGTAGGAGTGGTCCCGTGTAAGACATTTCCTCACTTTAAAAAACCTTCAAGCGCAGAAATTGCTTGTTTAAAGGGAGAATTTGTATGTTTAAAGCACAAAATGCACCGAAACCCGAGGAAAGTTTAAAACAAAACAACAATACGATTAAATGTTTACCTCCCTGTTTAAGTTTAAAGAACACATTCACTGGTGAAACTAAAGAAGAAAGCGATATCTTTTAGTTTAAGAAACAGAGGTTTGAATATTTTGAATATTTTTTTTTTAATGTAACAGAAAATGTTTTCTAAATTCTGATTACAATGCTAAATACTTTTTAGATGCCATCTCCCTTCTGAACGTAGGCGATCATGACTCTCCACATATTTCTTTTGTTTATTGCATATTAGAATGGTTTCCCGTTGACTTCACTGTTTGGAATTCAGAGTTTTCCTTCTTTTAGAGTGATTGCCACCCAAGGCTACAGCGCCTGGTCTACCCTGATATTTAACCCATAACTGGAGGGAGAAGAGATGGATTCATGCTATTTCCAAGGTCATTTGTACAAATAGCGAACGCTGGAGACGAGGCTAGAATTTGAACTTGGCACCATTCCGCGCCGATAGCCGTTACACTCGTCTCATATGATGAAGATACCGGCATCAACCATTGTCTTCCCATGATTTTTCCAATGGCGTTTGCTAATGTAAAAATATTTAACAGACATGCTAATATTATATCATCTGCTAAATAACACCGATGTTTTCTTCTTGAGGATAACCAGAGAACGGTAAAAAGCGCTAAAACCAACGTTACGATTTATAGACAATTTTTGCATAGACATGAACTCTTAAAAATATGCAAAATATACTTTGTCAGTCATATTCAATAATATTTCTTATATATATATATATATATATATATGTGTGTGTGTGTGTGAGAGAGAGAGAGAGAGAGAGAATATGTGTGTATATGTCGAATAATTGCGCCGTAGGAACACGTACAATATTCAGTCTCCCCCCACTGGGGCAACATGTGACACAAGGTCGGTGACGTACAGTCACCCCTTCAGTATGAAGGCGGCAACATTGACCCTGGGTTGCTGCAAGAAGTCGGGTAGCATGATATGGTTCTTGTTGCTCACAACTCATCACCAACGATGTGAACTTTGTATGCCTTACCGTTAGTCCCTAGGTGGGTCCAGATCTGTCGTTGGTCTTGTTTACCTGGCCACTTTCAAAAATCTGGCTTATCTGTGTTTGAGGACTTGTAAAACGAGTACGATGTGTGCCTTTTCAATGTCTGCCTCCCATTGGAAGCTTGTCTCCATAATGCTCTCGATACGTCTGGAAGAGAAATGAGAAATTTGCCTCACGCCGAGTAACATTATGCCGTTTTAGTCCTGCTAAAAATGTGATCTCAAATACCTAGCGCACTTCACACACACACATATATACACACATTCACATACATACACTCACACACACACATACGTACGTGTACAGGTATTTATAGAGATATATAGAGATAGGTATATGTAGGTACATGTGTATGGATGTGTCTGTATATATAATCGAACTGTATTTGGAGATCATTTTCAAAAACAAACATAATTAGCAGAACCCTCAATAAATTACCTTCACTAATTAGCAGAATTGATAGCTGGTTAAATTCACTTTGGTTACATAAATTATCAAACTAACAATAATATAAGGAGAAAGAAAGAAAGAAAGAAAGAAAGAAAGAAAGAAAGAAAGACATTGTGTCGCTGGTTGTGTTTTTGTCATTAGATGACATTAGGATGACATTCAGAAGGATCGCTTTTGACTCCATTGCAACAGATTTCATATCGGTGTGCATTTTTACAAAGAAGATTGTCAAAATTTATTTTTAATTGATAATCACATTGAAAATGGAAAAAGATTAGCGTTAATTTAACTTGGCAAACACTCGGATGAAATATAACTATGCAAGCGTTAACAGACATCCTCCTGTAGAGCTTATTAGTCGGTAACACGACGCCATTAATTGATCTTATGAATATGTGTGACTGTCGTATGAACCCCTCCCATTCTCCACGTCCTGTTCATCACTCTTATTTGTCTACCTTCAAATTTTACTTTTTACAAATCTAAAACCGTCATTGAAGGGGGGGGGTGAGATTTCCCACCATGGACAAGATTAAGGATAACACGATAAAGTAGATAATGATAATCCCGAAATAGGACTATGAAAATAGATTTGGGAAGTCGAATTGATGCTGGGATATGTAAAATCTCAAAGGGAGAAGACTAAATCTCATTATGTTTCAAGTGGCTTGATGCTTTCCGAGTCTCTATAAATCTAGTGTTCTCGCTTTCGATTTAAGATTCGCAACTTAAAAGCAACGACAAGGTTCCTTTTTAAAAAGCGAATTGTGACGGGAGATAAAAAAACAGGAAATTTTACAATTTGAAATGTAACAGATTACCGACAAGCTAAATAGTGCCACCATTGTAGAACTCTTGAAAGGTAATACTGTGTATATTGATTTATTTTGTTTTGTTTTGTTTTACGGTATATCAACCTCAATACGTTATTTAATGCCGACAAAATTTTCATTGTTGTTAATATTTTTTCCAAAAATATATTTCTGGTAATAATTTTCCTTCGTTGGTAATATTTGTTTTTCAAAATGTATAGCTGGTAATAATTTTTTTTACAAAGTATTTCTGATATTAAAACTTATTTTTACTCTTTCATAGTGTTTTGACCCCAGTTTGCGGGTTAACTATTTTCCCATAGCTGGGACCCTAACAGGTGCTACCACCCCGGTCAGGTTGGACCTGGGAACACCAGCAATTAAGAGGTGGTTCCACGCTCCTCAAAACCTCATCAGAGGCCTTGATGTTGGATGTAGTTTATTGTCTCAGCGAGGATGCGGATGTAGTTTATCGTCTCAGCGAGGATGCGGATGTAGTTTATCGTCATACCCAGGACGGGTATATATTGAAATGAGTGCTCTTCTGTGAGTTCCTTCCATAGACACAAGTTTCACGACACCTTACTGAGAGGCTAGATTTATCCACATATACTGTTTATCAAGTGTCTGCAGAAAAGAGATGGAAACAACTCATTTGACCAGGTGCTAGCCTTCCAGGAGCAAATGATGCTGCTGTTCTCTAGCCCAGGTGAGACGCAGTAACATATGCCGTGGGGTTAATAATGGCAATCTTGATGTTCGATAACTACGAAACGCAATGGAATACAGTGTATACACTATATAGTGCGATGACTTAGTGGTTAAGCCACAAAAATATTAAATTTTGATATGATTTCATCCAACGTTCCTTTTAACATACCTGTTATTTACAAGCAGTCCCATTCATGTATCGTCTGCAAGTGTCTCTAGTTTTCACGTGTTCTTGATATCTGTCCAGATTTCACATATTCTTGCGACAGTTCCCCGAGATAACCGAGAGCAGTCATTATAACGCTGATAGACTGACTTATTTTTGGACCCCATTAATTTTATTGAATTCTGACAATGTGCCATGGCCGCCATAACTATATTGTCACAGTGACACTTAATCCGACTAAGTTCTTTCTCTACAAGTGAAACAGGTTAAAAACTTTTAACACTTCAGTTTATATATAAAAAAAGTATGAGTTTCAAACAAGTTTCATACATATATATATATATATATATATATATATATATATATATATATATATATAAAAAGAGAAAGAAAAGGGATATGTGTAAGGATTTGGTAAATATTGCAGCTGTTTGTTTTAACCGTTAAAAATTAACTTGTGGGTTCATCTAGAAGAACAATGGAGCTTTATTCTTTCCTGCAAACGAAAATATAGATCCTTCATTGACAGAAATTGTCTGACACGCATATATATATATATATATATATATATATATATATATGATGAAATATAGTTTTAAGATCTACTCTATTTATGGAATAAAGTGCTCAATATCAGGGATAGAGCGTATGTAAATATAAAAATGAACATTGAAGTCAACACTCAGAGGTGGCCTAATGATTGCGTTTAGCATGAAACAGTATGCCGTCTCTGAGTGTTGACTTTAATGTTCACTTTCTATATATATATATATATATATATATATATATATATATATATATATATATATATATATATATATATATATATATATAAAAAACGATGTATGCTTCGTGACTAGAAATTATTAGATATTTGTCCCCGCTACGAAAGGTAAAAATTAGGATTTTAAAAGCCGATTTTCTAGGCAGAAAGGCGTCCCAACTTGAATGATTGTCTTCCTCTCACATGTGTTTTTTTAAGTAAATGCACAGGCATAAACTGAGTCCTATACACACATATATGTGAACACATAAATGCACTCACCAGAAAACAGTCATACAATCATACACATAACAACACAATAACTGACGCACACTTAAGAAACGAAGAAATATATCAAATTTGTTATTTACAGGAATGACAAAGCAGCAATAGAATCTTGTAATTATTTACACTATTTACGATGTTCGAAATGTTATCCTCATCTTTGTTGCAATAATCACGGCGTTTCAACCGTTGTACGCTCCGACCTTCTTGAGACGACTGGAATTTCGAACCGAACGCTTTATTTCGTCCACCATGCCTCTTCCGGATATCTCAACTCAACAAGTTTTATGTTCACCTCTTCTGTGGCCAGATATTGAACTCGCAACTCATTGGGTCAAGTTACTGGATTACTTCACCAACGCGTTGATCCACTGGGTCCTTGACGACATAAAAATGCTTATTGGGACATTAGGTCCCAAAAATTCATACACCAGTCGATAAAAGCGTTATTTGAAGTAATTCAGTGTCATAACCCAAAGAGTTGTGAGTTCAATACCTGGCTACAGCAGAAGGCTGTTTTGGGGTTTGGGGCAGACTCTATTCAGAGCTGCTCATTTAAATTTCTCTCTCTCTCTCTCTCTCTATATATATATATATATATATATATATATACACACACGGAGGATGCCGATGGATAAATTTTCGTCGAAATGGCGCAAAAATGAAAATAACACTGAAATTTAATATTAACAGATATATTTACTAAAATTACACAAAAATATCTTGAAATACTGGAGAGTAAATTTATTCAATAAAATCGGCACTGGCTTCAACCACAGCTTCTAGACGACTTCGGAGTCTCCTGCAACTTTTCTGGTCAGTCTCCTTGTTTAAGTTGGTGAATGCTGCCATAATCCTTGCCTTCAGTTCATCTTTGGTATTATAAAGAGTTCTGTTGATCTCTCGTTCAACTCTGCTCCACACATAATAATCAAGGGGGTTGCAGTCTGGGGAGTTAGGTGGCAAGATGTAAGGGGTGAGGTGGTCGCAGAAATTGTCTGACAGTCATGACTGGGTTTTCCGACTTGCGTGACAATCCTATTGCCAGACACAGGGTCTTCCAGCAGCTATCCTTTTAACCCAGGTCAGCACTACCTGTTCATGGCACTTGATGTAGGCCTCTATATAGAATCTGAGGCCCTCACCGACAAATTCGGGAGTTCTTTTCTTATCAGATTGAGTTTTTCGAGCTTCCGTACGTTTGTAATCACCATAAAACTCATCCAACTCTTTCCGAATTCTCTGCACTGTCCTAATCTCGACACGCAAACGCTTCTGAAATGTTCGTATTGAAGCATCCGTCACGAATGCCAAGCCGTACAGCATTCCGTTTCCATATTTCTGGCGGCGTGAATTGAGTCAAGGTGCTCTTTTCCTCACAGACAGTGCCCAACTGACCCTATTATACTATTATTCAACAAAATAAAAAACAGAGCGCTCGCGCGAAATTAAAAATATAAAATAGCAAAAATTTACCCATCACACCCTGTATATATATATATATATATATATATATATATATATATATATATAATAGAAAAACAATGCTCAGATATGACTGCCTTATCGCCACTTAAAGTTTCATGCGGTCATCTACCTAGATACGTCTCTCTCACAATCCTCAGGTGGTACAAGTAACGAGATACTCAATTTTATTCTTAATATATATATATATATATATATATATATATATATATATATATATATATATATATATGTATGTATGTATGTATACCCAAGTATAGGATTGGTATATATGGAATAAATTCCAATAACTCAAAAAAATACTATCCTTAAAAGAGTGCTTATCAAGTGATGGTGTTGAATGTAGAATAAAGGGTTAAACCTTTTATTCTACGTTCAACACCATCACTTGATAAGACACCAGAAGTGATGAAATAAAATGGCTATTTTTGTAGTGTAGTGATTTTATAATATATTTATGTTATAATTTCCGAATAAATTATATATATATATATATGGGTTTGTAAGAGAGAGAGAGAGAGAGAGAGAGAGAGAGAGAGAGAGAGAGAAGTGTGTGTGTGTGTGTGTGTGTGTGTGTGTGTGTGTGTGTGTGTGTTCGACGCCGATAAAATTATTTCTAGGTAATTATTATTTATCAAACACTTATATTTAATCGAATTGTGATATTCAAATCGTCCATATCGAAAAATTGCTACCTCGCGATGGCGCAATGGTTAGCGTGTTCATCTTACAGATCATTACTCTTGAGTACTGGGTTCGATTCTCCACTGGTTATCCAACCCTTGCAGCTTTGTACCAAAAGAAACCAAACACATGATTATACTCTGCGCCGTATGGGAATGGTTTAACAAACGTGTAGAACATTGCACTGTGTTGCGGGTTCGATCACC